CTGAACAGAATAAAAACTGTCGTCGTTTGCTTGCTATAACTGCGATGAATTAAGTAAATCCACGTCGCCAATTGTTGTAACTGCACTGAATTAAGGTAAACCCCGTCGCCAATTTGTTATAACTGTAGGGAATTGAATGAAGACGTTTTCACCTTATTCTGTCTGCGCCTGAACTAATCTGTCTATCTGCTTGTCGTACCTTCCGACTTAGTAAAGCACGCAAATATCAAAAGACAAAGGCTGGACTGTGACTGTGTATTGAAGTGCAACAACGATAAAGAAAGCCATGGTATTTATACATTTTACAACAATATGGACAGCTAACAGCATTTGAAATAATTGACCTTAATAGCCAATAACAAAGTGTGTGAGAAATCATAATATGCCATATGTGCGACATTGACAGTCAGTAACAAAATGTGTGGGAATGATATACCATATATACAAAATTAGCAGTCACTACCAAAATGCGTGAGAATGATAATATACAAAACTAGCAGTCACTACCAAAATGCGTGAGAATGATAACATACCATAAATGCAAGTTTAAACAGTCAATACCAAAATATGTGGGATCCTATCATTACTAATATAAGTATGAAACGTGGGCACCGTGGTAGAGTTTAACTCTATTATGGATAAGATTTTACTGTGATAAATCTTATCCATAACAGAGTTATTATTGCTAGTTTCAAAATATTTTTATTTTGCTTTTGGCCTTTTCTGATCTTCCTGATGAATTCTGTAAGATAGTTATTTAACATCAACGCTTCTTCTATCTGTTTTATTTCATAATTTAGGTTTTTTCTTGTACTACTTAGTGTTACTGCTCGATTTGTTAAACACTTAACTAAGCCTGCCTTAACAGTTAACGGATGAGACGAATTAAAGTCTAAATATCTATTGGAATGCGTTGGTTTTTTATAAACAATAGTAAAGAGTTTCTCTCCTTCTATCCGTTTTATTTTACAATGTAACATAGCTTATTCTCCTTGTTCATTTTCCGCTTCAAATGTGAATTTTATTCTCTGTATTATTGAGTTTATGTTTGTCAAGAAGCTAGAGATATGTTTTGTTTTTAATACCGAAAGTCTCATCCACATATCTCCACCATATTTTCGGAGTAGGATTAAAAGTTGTGTTAAGAGTAATGTTTCCCCGACTGTCCATAAATATATCTGCTTCGATAGTTGATAATTATTATCTCATTGTATATACTCTCGATTATTTTTATGTGCTGAAGGGTACCGTATTTAAAGTAGTTAGTTCGTTTTGGAATTGTGCCAATAACTCGACACATAGAAGACGTCTACCTGATATTATGACAACTTTATGGTTTACGGTTTGGTCACATGAAAAAATTTCTTCCTTTTACATTGTGTGGTAGATTTTCTGAAGAAGTTAGATATTTTATTAAGCCATACATCAGTGTTGGAACGGCTCATTTTATCAGTGACTACTTTGGGTATGGCAGTTATCACGTCACTTTCCTTAGATAAGCATTTAAGTTATTCCGATTTCACATGGTGAGTCTATTTAGTTCACTTAGTGAATTTCCTGCTCTGATTCCATTCAGAAACATGCATTATATTGTTTACCCCAGAGGGATTATGTAAGTTGACATTCAAGAATGATATGCATTTATATTTTATCGGAAACGTCGAAGATATGTGAAATACGTTTGCCTCAATGTCTGACTGAAATACGTCACTTTTCGAATTTCCATATCAGACTAACAGCTTCGTCACTTTGTTGATTACAGCTTCCAGTCAGATCTCACTTTTCTACTCATTTGCCATTTTGTCAAAGTATTTCTGATTTTGTGATATATTATTAAAGTACTTTTATGTTTCTTATCAAAGTCCATAAAATATGGATTCTGAATTTTTTATGTGGTTTCTACCGAAGAAATTTAAGAAAATAAATACGTACTCATGGAAAGCTGACGGAAATGTATTTTAAAAATCGTGATGAAGAAGAACACAAGTATTTATGAAAAAAAAACAATTTAAACACATAAATCATAGAGTGACATTCAGTAGCGTTTTTTTTGTGTCAAGATGATATTATGACAATATTTCATTTGGTTGAATAATAGCCATCCTAAGCGTGTGATGCAACGTATCTGAAAAAATAAACAAACAAGATGCATGTGTGTCAGTCAGTAGCAAATGAGAAATATTCGTTTACAAATATTTGTGAAGTTTGATAATATTAGATATTTGGAGACAATCAACCAGAAGAAACCTTGTTTGACCTAGGTTTCGTTCTAGTTGGCGCTCATCAATCAGCAAGGCGTATCTGCAAACTTGAAAGAACTCATGTCCATTCTGAGATTCAAATCCGCGTCACTCAGTGCCACCTGAAGTCAGAGACGTTAGTACTGAGCTATTTGGCCTCGCGATTGACCTCTTAATCTTTAAATATTTCCATTTTTAATATAAGAGCAAGACATATAAGCGAACAATATTGTTTTCAAATTGAATTTCTTCAGGCTTTACTCCAATTCACATAGATTTATATATAAAAGTTTTAACCAATGACGGTGATTTTGTGGATCAAATAATAATAGTAGTAATAATGATAATGATAATTATTATGTGATCCACAAAATCGCCGTCATCGGTTAAAACTTTTTGTATATAAATCTATGTAAATTAGAGTAAAGTCTGAAGAAGATCCACTTTTTTCGATTTCGGCTTGATTCCACACCGTACTTTTTGATACAGGTATGGAATTTTCAGCATGTGATGTCGGTAGCCAAAATTTTGCAGGCCGACCATAGATATCAGGTGTGCGTCGACAGGGGATCAAACCCCGGACCATGTGCATGGTTGACGAGAGTCCTAATCACTCTGCCACTAACGCATATCTAATTGAAAACAATATTGTTGGCTTATATGTCTTGACCTGTAAATATCTAATATCATCAAATCAATGTTAAGTGTGATGGCGAGCTATCTAGAATGGTGACCACATTGCAAACCTGACTGACACAATTCAGTCTGCATCAAAGAAAGGACTGGACACGTCACATTAATTACTAGCGTCCAATCAAAGTACCCACTACAGTCCAACAGGGGTCAATCACCAGCCTAAATATCTCAGTGGTAACGTCTCTGAATACAGGCGGCACTGGATGACACGGTTTTGAATCTCAGAAGGCAGATGAGTTCCTTCAAGGTTGCAGATACGCCTGGCTGACCGATGAGTGCCAACTAGCACGAAACTTAGGTCAAACAAGGCTTCTTCTGGCTGATTGTCTCCAAATATCTTATATCATCAAATCAATGTTAAGTGTGATGGCGAGCTACCTAGAATGGTGACCATAATAAAATTCTGACTGATAGAATTCAGTCTGCACCAAATTAAGGACTAGACACGTCACACTGATTGCTAGTTCGGAGTTTGCTGTGATTTAACGGAAAACTTGAATAAATATTAGAGGCTGATAATAAATCCAAGTTACATACTTCATTTTTTACCATCTGAAATACCAAATTAACGGTAGAAATGTGTCATTGCTAACTTTACTACCTATTTCTCATAGTAAACGAATTCAATTTTGGAAGTATTAGGAAACTTCTATTGACCAACCTCGAGAAAAGCAAAGCGTACTGGGAGTGAACATCTTATACTGAAGGATGTAATGCTATTTCGTTCATCACAATATGCATGTCATATATTCATTTGTTGAGTACCACCTCGTAAAAGAGCGAGCTGAGTAGATTTATTGCTATTGTAAAGAATAGCATAGTTAGGGACAAGATGAAAGCTTAACGTCTTAATAGTAATATATTAGGAAATTTTGAAATAACTAATTTCAGTGTTTGATTTGCATTAGAATGAATCAGTAAATTAGTGCGATGATACATCTGACTGTTTGTGTCAGTGTATGTAGCAGCAATACTTATTGTTCTTCACACCAAATTTGTGAAACACTACAAAACACTACATTGTGCGTCGGTGATAAAGCGGTTAGGACTCTCACGGATCATGCACCTGGTCAGGGGTTCGATCCCCGGCCGACGCATTACTTTACCTCGCTAAGCCAGAAATAATGCTTGTAAAGCTAATTTATCATACGAGGAAAGACTAGACAGTTTAAATCTCTTCTCACTGTCATACTGTAGGCAGAGAGGAGATTTAATCACAATGTTTAAAATTTTAAATAATGACTACGGACCTGGCTTATTCTCTCTTTTCCTTCTCATCAAGTCGGAACACCTCAGGTGACATAGCAGGAGAGTTCAAAAGCCAGGGATAAATCATATATCTGTTGAGTACTGGTTCTCACATCGAGTCATAAACTCTTGGAACCGACTCCTAGAAGAAGTGGTGTCTGGAACCTCAACTGATTCATTCAAGAAGGGTTTGGACAACCACAGAAATCTACTTGAAAAGGATTAACATAGGCTGCAAGCCTTCTATCCTCAGCCAATAAATCTGAATCTAAAAGAGGAAAGGTTGGGCATGAGGCTAGCAACCCCATCCTGTAAAATAAACACTGCTAGAAGAAGCTTAAAGCCACTAGATTGAGGCCCTATGTTCCACTGACAACGTGAAGGAAAAAAGAAAGACAAAAGAAGTTAGGTAAGCTCAAATACACGTTCAATCTAAAATTTTAAAATTACGCCAGAGACGGCGTAAACTGGCGAATGCGAAACGAGCCCCCTGTATTCGTGCTGAGATTTCGTCAGAGATCAACCCGTTGGCACTGGCTGATGGAACTTCCCAAATAAGTGAAGCGGTCAACGTGCTCTACCACTTCATTTCCTATTTTTAAGCTAGGCGTCGATGTAGTCCAGTCCTGTAACATCATCTTGCATTTAACAAGGGGAGCGAATCGCATACCAAACATTCGTAGATTGCTGCTCAAGGTGTTTAGAAGACTCTGCATTTTGTCAGCGTCTTCGCCTAGAAGGAATATATCGTCTGCATATTCTAAGTCAACGAGATTATTCCCTGGTAGCAAGTCAATCCTGAGTCGCTGAAGTCACCTAGGGTTAAGTCCATTAACACATCTATGATGAAGTTGAATAGAAAGCTGTTAGCAGTACAGCTTGCAGGTAATTTATATTTCATATGTGCATCTTTTGGGAATACCACATCATCATTACAATACAGTAACAGACATAAATTATCATGATCAAACCACTCACTGGAATTGGTAGAACTAGTGATGTTAGTTACTTGAAGGAAAAAAATATGCTCACAAAGTTTGGTATAAATGGCATAAAGATAATTACAACACATACACACAATAACTTTTAGTCAATGATCATTTGAGAAGTGTTCAACTGGCGACAATAACGAGACAATTTCTGATTGCCGTCATGATGAAATACGTAACAGAGTTCATAAAATAGTATTGGCGGATAGGCTGCAGCTTCAAACTTCAACTTCAAACAAATTTTTATTCCTTTAACCCTTTTCCTTGATATCATTTATTATTTGGTCAGAATTAGACAGAGGTTCACTCAAAGCTTCTCCCTCGACAACGCCGAAGAAAGTACTTTTTGACTTACAGATAGTGTTGTTCATCAAGACTTCATATGAATGTTTATTCAGCAAAATGTGTTAACAAACTGGCTCAGAATCTGTATATGCAGTACAGTTTGCAGAATGTTGTCTTTCCGATTTATTCGACCCAAATCAATATGCAATTTCGGCACATACTGTATGGATTTCTAATTTTACTAATGTTGATATTTCAACAGAAAGGGAAATACGAATGACGTTTTGCTGAGATTGAATGTGTCCTAATTAACGAAATATTTTGAACAAATTTGAACAGAACTTTTGACTGTCATGCTAGTAGCAGAGATAGGTACTTTTTAAACATAAAACCAAGCGGTCTTTAGCCAGTATCAGACATGAAAAACAATGAAAGCAATTTTTCTGTTTGAATTGGGGATCTTAATGTCAAATCATATGGCAAGTAAAATACTGTGTACTGTTCATACTTACATGCATAAATGTTTGAGCCTGAAGAGGTGAAATTCCAGGAATCAATACTGAAAATCGCTACACAAAGTTATTTTCAAGTTTTACAGTTGGAGATATTCTGAACGAGACAAAATTCTAGCCAACTGTCACCAATGAAATAGGATTAAATAATTGAAAACATGAGTACTTTTTAAGTTGGGCTGATAAAGTGATATCAAAGTATTTGTAGAAGTTCAATTCATCTCATGTTCCCAGTGACCTCAATTCATATGCACCATAAGAATATTTGCGTATTTTTCACAGTAGAAATATCCACGTTAAATTTGTTGACCTTTACATTTCTACCTACTTCTTATACAACACGGATTAGGAAATACTTAACACCAACTGCATATTGTAAACATTTAGAAACACTAAGGAAATTAGCATGCCCTCACAAACGAGTGAAATGGAGGATAATTAGAAATTTTCAAATAAGGTCTCAGCAATAAAATCACATATAATCAGTTATTCAAAATTAGTGGAAGAGATATTCATAGCATACAACAAACAGCTTGAATTAAATGGAAAGCTAATTTTATTTACGTTTCACTTTCGATAACTTGACTATATATGTATTCACTTGTCCCGTAGCCTATCTTGAGCCCAGATAGAGAGAGAAGGTTGGGCGTGAAGTAGGAGACCCTACTCCAAACTTTCAACCCAGTCTGTGCAGAAACTGCATAGCACAAATGGGATATGAATATGTATTCTTAGCTTGATTAGGAAGGCGAAATTATGCGAAGTGATAAAATACTTCGTTTGAGAAGCCAGTTCACCGATGTATGTTCAATCGATAATAACTTTTGGCACATAGAATGATCGGACAAAGTGGAAACTTGTAAAGTTCTATCGGAGTCCAGAGGAAGTGATTATGTTTTGCATAGGAGTATTAACAGTGCATTAATGCATATGGAATGGATGGGAGCCGTCCAAATGTTTATTTGGATGATCCGTATTCTACTCCAGTCACTCAAATGACAATCATAAGTACACTGAGGTAATGACAATTATGATTTCACCAACAGCATCTATTTGAACAGTCTTGGACAAGATTCCAACATGGAGTGTAGCACTACAATTCTAGTAGTTGATATGAACACCTAAATGGCAGCAGACACCACAGGAATAAAACAAATTATGAGTCGTGAGGCTCTCAGCGAAATGAATTAGAATGACGAACTCTTCGTTGAATTCTGCACCTTTAATGAAATCGTAGATGCAGACGGAAGGTCAATTTGAAAGCTCCAAAGAAACTGGAAACAGACGTCAACTCAGGTTCACCACCTGGAAAATGAAACACGAAACCACAAAGCACACCAATCGAAGCAAAGTAGACACTGTGTTACATCACTGTGGAGGCCTGTATGGATAAACACTACAATTATCTGAAAATGATGTTGTATAACTGCTCTAGAAAAGAAAGAATAGACAGTTTGAAAAAATGACTCCTCATGTGCGTCTGGAAGGTAACAGAAATTGAAGCTTTTAAATTGGATAATGAGTACTAAGTTGACATCTTGGCACCAACATTGCAGTAAGCTTGAAGGTGAAGCAAAGTACCTACAAATGAGAAGAAATGCTCTCTTGTCAAGCTTTCAAAGAAGAGAAACTAGCAGATGCGAAAACTGAGGTGGGATAGCACTTAGGTTGATTTCAAGCAAAATATTCAGGAATACTTAGTCGTATAAACCCTCAGCCATCAACTAAATAGGAAATATTGCCTCACAAATTTGCCGAAGAAAACGGGGACGCATGAAGCGCATAGTGAAAGGACTTTTGAAAGAGATAGTCCACCAGGTTCAAGGGTATAACTAGCGTCAGAAATAGCTATATGAGGAACAAATGATGACACTCTTAAGATACTATAAGGCAGATGAAAAACGTCAATGAGCAGTCGTAGAGTCAGCTTACAATGACTGCAGAGAGAAGCCATTTGTCTCATTCGAAATCCATGGGAATTGTGGCCATAATATGAAGGAATTATTAGCGCGTGATACAAACTCAGTCGCCTGCGTCACCATTGCGAAATTGATGAATAAAATAAGCATACTGATATTTTACAATCTAGTGTTAAGAGACACAACTCATTCACTTACAGGTTAGTTTCTCGTCACCTGTTCAATGTGTTGATAACATGAATAAATAATGATTTCAGTTAGCATCTCACAAACTAATGCTTATAGTTTGTGCTCGAAACGTCATCCATTAATATTACTGTGTAACACTGTGTGATTTATCGAAATAAAATCTTATCCACAATGGAGTTATGCTCTACCACAGTGCCCAAGGTTTATACTTTTATCAGTGTTTTCATAATAAGGCAGAAATTACCTTTATGCTTCGTTTGATCGTCTACAAAGTGAATTGTAAAACTGTTAATTCAAGTTATAATTTTTTCGTTACTTCATATATTTATTTACTTCCTTACGTAATGCCCAGAAATTACATTGTGTATGGTTATTATTGTTTGGCGTAAAGTGATTATTGGTGAACTCCCTGTGTAAGTATTTTAAAACAATTTTTCCAAATAAACGTAATGTGTAAGCATGTGATGAAAAGCCAACGAAATAAACGATGGTGCCATTCGATTCTGCAAAAACACATGTTCTTGCGTTTTTTTTGTTAAATATGCACTGAGACGTATGCAGAAAATTTTATTTGATATCTTCTGAGTGCTACACATGGGGAGAGTTCGATTTAATGAGGAAATTATTATACAGTTCTCTTTCTTACCTGGTCAGACGAAAAGTTGCGATTTAAGAATCAGTTAGAATAATTAGTTCAAATAAATATTGTAATGCAATCAGGCAAACTTGACTGCTAATAGATTGAATAGTGTAAAATGCACACTAAATGCAAGTCTCTTTACAGGCAAGCAATGATAAAGACGTTTCGGCGGGTGCAAATCATCCACGTAAACAGTATACACATTCGAAAGACATACCTGCTACGTCTAAAACATTCATAATAATTGTAGCAGACAGTGAGTTATCATGAAAGATTATTGGAATAACTTTGATCAAAATATTTCTTTGACATACAAACCTTTATTGGTGCTTAAACACCTTCATAAACTGCAAGGTAATTGACATTTTATTATATGTTGAAGAATAGCCTGCATTTCAAATAATTCTTTATTGAGGAATTGTTTATTGGTCGTAACAAAAGACACCATATTCACTAATCATTACTTGTGATTGATGGCATTTAACATGAAAAGTACATTCTTTCAATTCAAGCAACGTGGAAATAATGGTTTGATTGAAACTGAATGTGATTCGCAGAAACACAACCAAAATTTAAGTAAATAAAATGACACATGAAGCAATCTCTTTTCGTTAATCAATGGGCCTTACAAATTACAAATTTATATTTTATTTATACTTACGTTCTAAAATCTTTGAGGCTAAAAAGAGTCAGCATAAGATTTTGTTGGAAACATCTATGTGATCCTATACAACAGTTCTATTCATCATTACAAGTAAGCCCTAATAGCGAAATTACTCTTTATTTTCGTTATTTTGACGTGCAACAGAATTTCACTTCTATCCAGTGGAATTTTTTAACTTAGAGCATAAGTCTTGCTTACAAAATACCACATCAGAGACAGAGATTCAAGCAGACTTTGTTACAATTCACCAGAAGTCTGTCACTAGTATGCCGATTCCTTGGCCTGTTTTGCCATGTCGATCATATGCGACACACCACCTCCTAAAATAACAAAAAGTGATCATAACCACTGATTCTTCAAGAGTAGTCTATTTCCATTCAAGAAAAACATATGACACATATAATTTTTTAAAATCTTATTGCTTTACTTTTCCAGTGGAACATAGGGCTTCAACCTAGAGGCTTGAATTTTTAGGAACAGTGGTGTTTATTTTTGTAAGGGATGGGATTGTTAGCCTCGCGCCTAATCTTTCCTATTTACCAGTATTATAACTGGCTTAGCGAGGTAAAGGAGTGTGTCAGGCGGGGATCGAATCCCGAACCACATGCATGGATATTGAGGATTCTACCACGGTGCCAACGACGCTATACATATAATACATTTCTGCTATCATAGCTTTCTGTCACCCTGCTAAACCCCTGGTTCTTTGGCACTTTACTTAAGTAGGCACAAATTGCACTTGACCTTGAGGATATCACATTTACAATTTATCTTTTATTCTTGAATGAAGCTGAATCTGTTGTGGTCAGTGTATTGCAAAATCTCAGTCTTGACGGCATCCGCGTTCTATTTTGCCTAAAAAGGACCTAACAAAGTGGGCCATGATGTCTTTATCTGTTATCATTCTATTCCAGGGAAAATAGGAACGCTAATTAAAAACCATTTTCACCTGTTGCACCTCATAATTATCCTGATAAATGGATATCTGATGAAATCTTCGCGAATACAGTGTAGCCAACATTATACAAAAATTTCAAGAGAATGTTCACACAATGTGTGTGAAGTGACTCACCGGCTACTTCTGTTTCATTTGTCGAAAATTGAGTAAATC